GGCCAAGGCTGCACAGCTCAAAAACCTTGAAGACAAGGTTTGAATCTGTAATCTACATAATGCCAAAATCATACCCTTTCCACCACTGACTCAGGAGAGAGAGTCATTGCGTGGATGCTCTACCCTTGGCATCAGGGGAAGTGGGTCCCGTTTGAGACTCGAGGCTGCTGTGGTTCCTGTGAGTGCCCAAGCTCTAAGGGGCCTGGGGGTTAAGGGAGAAAAGGCTGAGGACGTATGGATGTGTATGTGTGTGCACACCCGTGCGTGTGCACATGCACAAGGCACTCTCTCCTGTTTGTGCATGAAAGGGGAACACACAGAGCCTAAGGATACTCATGATGGCCACGATCATATCAACAGTGATAATAGCGGCAGTAGCGATAAAGGCAGCTAACATTGCTTGGCACTTACCATGTACCCAGCACTGTGCTAAGTGCTTCACCCGAAGGATCACATTCAGGGAGAGCAAGCCGTGGTTAAGAGCCGGGTCTCAGGGTCAAGTGGATTGGTTTGGGATCCCAGCTCTGTCACTGTTTGACTCTGGGAAACTCACTTGGCCAGTGGGAGGCTCCACGTCCTCATCCAAAATGGGTATGGAGCCCCACTTCATGGGGCGGCTCCTGTGAGGAAGAAATGGGACCCCAGATGTAAAGCGATTAGCAATGAGCCTTCCATACCCAGTTGCGAGTGTTCAGACATGTCCATTATGGAGGTGTGCATGAATGCATGCGTGTGAGTGTGTACAGACATGTCCACTCTGGAGGTGTGTGTGGTCGTGTGTGCCTGTCTTGGTGTTGGCAGGTGTGAGGGCCGTGTGTCTACTGGGTGAAGGGTGTTGAGTGTCGGTTGGTCGTTCTGTGTTTTTGTTGAGTGGCGTTTTCACTGAGTGGGGGGCTCCCTCTTAAACTGGAGCTCCTGGGCTGGTTCGAATATGTCCCAGCAGGGAGAGTTCTGGTGGCTCACTGGGGGCCATTCCAGGCAGCCCCCTGCTTGTCACCAGCTGGGAGCATCCCTCTTTAGCTGGGGCCCTGGTCCAGCTGTCTCCTTTCTCCATCCCCGAGGCCTGCGCCGGATGCCCGCACATTCAGCATCCCTGGAGGGCAGGGCTGAAGGAGGGGAAACAGAAAAGAGAAGGAAGGACCTGGGAGTGGGGGGACCCCGCGGGCTCCCTGCGGCTCCCGCTGCTCCCGGCTCTGTGCCGGCGGGCGGGGACTTTGAATCGTCTGAGCGCTAGGGGGCAATGTGTCTGTTTCAAAGAAGCTGTGGGCCCTGGGAGGCTGAGTGCGCATCCAGGCACGCGCAGGGGCGCCCACATCTTGGAGGCACACACACCCGCGAGTCCACGAGCACATATGGACACAGGCGGGAGCCCACTCTCACACTCACAGGGAAAACAGACACACTTGAGCAGAGATATGGGCACACAAGGTGTGAGGCAGCCGCACACGCCTAGGTGCAAACACAGGCGTCCACGCAGACAGGCCTGGGGTTGGGGGATAGATAGTACCTACCCCAGGGACACTCATGAGGTGCCTCCCGATGCCCCAAGACACCTCGAGACACGTGAAAGCATTCCCGCAAACACATCCCGATGCCCTGCCTCCCGACCGGGGCGAAGACACAAATGCACACACGCCACACACCCACACAACATTCAGAGTGTGAAGGAAAGGTGACCCAGACACATCCTGAACAGAAACCCAGCCAGGCCCAAACACACCCTCCTTTCAGACACTCACACACCTTGTAGACTGAACTCTTGGAAACAGCCCCAGAAAAATACTCCCACACCCCTCCCCCGCTCCCTGGAGCACACAGCATTATTCCACAGGAAACCTGCCCAGGTGTTCAGGGGACCCCCACCCCTGTGTGAAGTCATGCCTCAGCTTAGAGCACACCCCAACCCTGCTCTCCCCAGACTGCAGATCTGTGGGCCATTCTTCCCACTGCCCTTGGCCCACCCAGGGCTCCAGATAGGTCCCAACTTCCCCCATTCCCTCCAGACACACACAGAGATGTAATGCTCCTCACATACGGTCTCCCAAGATACCCATCTCCTAGCACCCATGGCTCTGGACAAGGTGCGCCACCAGCCATCATGGGCTTTGCATAGGACTTTGCTCCTGTGGGGTCTTCTTCCTGGTGGTGACATTCCCCCTACTGGTCCCTTTCCTGACCAGGAGGCTCAGGGTGTCCCAGTCTCCGGCCTGGGGCCCTGGGTGAGGGATGGTGTATGTGTGGGGGTCATGGGAGGCCTACCCAGTACCTTTATTTCTTTGTGCCTAAATCAGCCAAGCCCCAGTCTTTTCCGGCTCTCACTTCCCTGTCACTTTGCTAAGTAATAATTTCCATGTCCGATTCCATTTCTTTCTAGTTCTGAAACCTCTAAGCTATCAGCAAGAGGATAGTTCACATGAAAACTAATTACACAAAATCAATATTTAATCACAGACCAACAACCTGATCCTGCAGAAAAATCCTTTTAAAACTCCACCGCCTTGTACAAATACTTCTTCCCGATGCTTATTTATGGACCCCGTTTTTGGTGGGGGTGATTTTCATTTTTAATTTCAAAAAGAAAAAAAAAATCTGTAGACACCCACAACAGGAAGGTCCCGGGAAGGAGCTGGGATCTGAGCTGGCTTCAGCTCCCTGAGTTTCAAAGTTGCGGGCTTTTATTGCTTGTTTTCATTACTATTCTTCTGGGGAGGGGTGTGATTTCCTTCAGGAGTCCCTCCAGAGACCCTGCTTCCCGCCTCCCCTCACCCAAAGGGGAACCCATTTTCCTGGCACTTTGGCTCAGGAACACCCAGAGCTGCTTTCCCAGCAGCGACTCCCGGGAGCAATGAATCGGTGTGCACACACAACGTGGTAACTTTTTAACTCGTGCCCGCGACGGTGGAGTGCTTAATCTGAGGTTTTTAAATAAAAAGGGCTCAGGGGTTGGTTTTATTATAACGTTTATTTCATTTCAGATTTCATGCGCAATTTAGCAAACGCTAGACAGACTTGGGTGATAAACACTTTTCTTTTGTGGGGGGAAAAGGCATTTTTATACACCATGCTTAATTTTATTTAGATTTAATAGCGATATCAGGGGCACTTCAAAGAAAGTTCTTTTTCTTCGCCCTCCCCTTCTCCTAAGAATGCTGGTCTGCTAGCAAAATCGCCTCGTGCTATTTTATGGCAAGGGAAATTACAGGCCTTCTCCCCCTTCCTCCCTTACACGCACTTTAGGGAGAAAAATACACACACGCAGGCACATAGAATAAACACCTTCCCTCTACCCTCCATTCCCTCGGACTCCCAACTTCTAATTGCAAGATAGATTTCAGCCCTCAGTGGGGATCAGAAAGATCTAAACATTTTAACTAAGATTATTGGGATAAATATTTCATAAAGAGCAGGGCAGATATTAAATTACTCCTATTGATTTTAGTATCACAACCCAATTCGGTTCCTCGGCCTCTTCAGTTTAATTGATCTCTTAAGGAGGCCAACCTCGAGCCCCTGGAGGGCCTGGGCCTTGGCCCCAGTGTCCGGAGTGGGGTGCTCCGGCGGGCGGGTGCGCCCTCGGAGCGCGGGTCTTCTCGAAGCTCCCAGCGGCCTCGCGGCTCCGGCTCTGCGTGCATCCGAGGTGCACCCCCATCCCCCCCCCCCACCAAGTAGCTGAGTGGTCACGGCTCCTCTGGGCGGAAAGCCGGCGACTGAGAACGGGGAGCCCCAGACAGTGGGGATAGGGAACAATTGTGCCGGAGTGAGCAAGCAAGCGCCCGGGTCTCTCGAGCAGAAACCTAACTTTCGGGGTTCCCCGTCTGCTTCCACCTCCAGAAAAATGCGAGGGCCGGCTAACTTGGGTGCCACCAGCAAGCAGACAGCGGCGGAGAACCGCGGGCTCGCCCCGGGGACGAAGCGCAGTGGACTCTTGGAGACTTTCCGTGGCGAGTCCAAGAGCTTTGCTTGGCGACCCCATTGTCTGAGCGCCCCGCACCGCTCACCGCCCACCTCCCCGCCCCCTGCCCAACCCGCAGGTCTCGCTTCAGTTAGGGGTGGGGAGTTGGGAACCGTGCGAGTGGGAAGGGGGGCGAACAAAGCCAGGCTCCCGCCGTTCCCCGCCTGCGCCCTCTCCAGCCCGGTGCGCCACGAGGCCGGGGCGCGCCCCCCAGCGCCCTGGCGCCGACCCCGAGGCCAGCCCCGCGCGGGGGACCCCAGAGCTGGCGGGTGCGGGTTCATGGCGGGGGCCTCAGCAGCCAGCAGCCAGCAGCCAGGACCACCTTAAGAGCGAGCCCCGCCCCGGGCCCGGAGCTCGGGCTGCGCTGATTGGTGCAAATGTAATGGCTGAAATTGATTGCTGAAATGCAAAACTTGTTGCTGCTTCTCCCGGCGCTGGGCGAGAGGCAGACGCCGAGAGGGGAGCCGAGACCCTCGGAACGCCCCACGCGGAGCCCCCCCGCCGGCCAGCAGAGGGGTGCGCGGACCCCCCCAGGACCGCCCCCGCCCCCCCATCCCGGGCTCCGAGAGCGTAGCCGGAACGCCTCAGCCCGCTCGCCGAGCCTGGCCCCGACCCGCGTACGCCCCCCTGCTCGGGTCCGAGGGGGACTCGCGAAGCACCTCGGCGCGGAGGCAGGGAACCCGAGCCTCCGAGCGCCGCGACCTGCCGCCTCGCTGCCCGCCCGCGCCTGGACGCCGGCGCCGAGACCCCCGCGAACTCCGAGACCGAGCAGACGAGGACCGAGGCGGCCGGACCGGGGGGCCGCGCGCCCGCCGCGGAGCCGGGGAGCCGCGCCCCGCTCAGACCTCCGCTCCCACCCGGGCGCCGCGCGCCGCCGCCTCCCCGGCCCCGCGGCGCGCGCGCTCGCTCGCTCGGGGCCCGCACCCGTGATGCCGAGCGGAGCCTCCCGCTTTCCGCCCCGCTGAAGCCGCCGCCGCCGCCGCTTGCTCGCGGCCGCCGGAGACTGTCGAGCGGCTCGTGCCCGGCGGAGGCTCGGGCTGCGCTGCGCGGGGACTCCGGGGGGAGGGGGGAGGGACCGCTCGGCCCACGCCCGGGCGCCCGCCACGGCGCTGAAGGGTCTCCCTGCTCGGCCCCGTAGCCGCTCCGCCACGGACTCCGGGAGGCCTCGGGGGACGTCCTGGGGCTTCCCACCCGGCCCGATCGGACTTGAGAAGGTGATCGCTCCGCTCTCCCTCCCTCCTTCCCGCCTCCTTCCCCCCACTTAACTTTTTGTCTCCACCCGCCCGCAGCTCCGTCCCCTCCGCGCAAACCCACCCGCGGCTGTGCCAACCGCCGGGGCATGGGCCCCCCAGCACGGCTCCCGGAGGCCCCGCGGCACCGCAAGATGTGAGAGGCCCGGGTCCCGCAGAGCCAGAGCTTCGGGAGAGGAGCCGATTGCCCCCGGCCTCCAGGCGCCGGGCGAGGTGGCGGTGCGCACTGCGCCCCCGCGGTGCTGAGCGCCCCGGAGCGCCCGACCCCGGGCCGGAACGTTTCGCTGGCCGGAGGCGCGCCGCCGAGAGCAGGCTGTCATGCCCTATTGATCCCCCCGCCCCCTGCCAAGTATGTTTGGGCTGGACCAATTCGAGCCCCAGATCAACAGCAGGAACGCTGGCCAGGGCGAGAGGAACTTTAACGAGGCCGGACTAAGCATGAATGCCCACTTTAAGGCCCCGGCTTTCCACGCGGGGGGACCCCCTGGCCCGGTGGACCCTGCCATGAGCGCGCTGGGCGAGCCCCCGATCTTGAGCATGAACATGGAGCCTTACGGCTTCCACGCGCGTGGCCACTCGGAGTTGCACGCGGGGGGGCTGCAGGCGCAGCCGGTGCACGGATTCTTTGGAGGCCAGCAGCCGCACCACGGCCACCCGGGAGGCCACCACCCCCACCAACACCACCCCCACTTTGGGGGCAACTTCGGCGGCCCGGACCCGGGGGCCTCGTGCCTGCACGGGGGTCGCCTACTTGGGTACGGCGGCGCCGCCGGCGGCCTGGGCAGCCAGCCGCCCTTCGCGGAGGGTTATGACCACATGGCGGAGAGCCAGGGGCCCGAGAGCTTCGGCCCGCAGCGACCAGGGAACCTCCCGGACTTCCACAGTTCGGGCGCCTCGGGTCATGCGGTGCCTGCCCCATGCTTGCCGCTGGACCAGAGCCCTAACCGAGCCGCCTCCTTTCACGGCCTGCCCGCCCCCAGCGGCTCCGATTCCCACAGTCTGGAGCCCCGAAGGGTGGCGAACCAAGGAGCCGTCGACTCGCTGGAATACAATTACCCTGGCGAGGCGCCCTCGGGACATTTCGACATGTTTTCGCCCTCCGATTCCGAGGGGCAGCTGCCTCATTATGCGGCGGGGCGCCAGGTTCCCGGGGGCTCTTTCCCCGGTGCTTCGGCCATGCCCAGAGCTGCAGGCATGGTGGGCTTGTCCAAAATGCACGCCCAGCAGCAGCAGCAGCAGCAGCAACAGCAGCAGCAGCAGCAGCAACAGCAACAGCAGCAGCAGCAGCAGCATGGCGTGTTCTTCGAGAGGTTCGGTGGGGCCCGCAAGATGCCTGTGGGGCTGGAGCCGGGAGTAGGCTCCAGGCACCCGTTAATGCAGCCTCCCCAGCAGGCCCCGCCGCCCCCTCCACAGCAGCCCCCGCAGCAGCCGCCGCAGCCCCAGCAGCAGCAGCAGCCGCCGGCGCCGCCGCCACCTGGGCTTCTCGTCCGACAAAATTCGTGCCCGCCTGCGCTCCCGCGGCCCCAGCAGGGCGAGGCGGGCACGCCCAGCGGCGGCCTGCAGGACGGGGGCCCCATGCTGCCCAGCCAGCACGCACAGTTCGAGTACCCCATCCACCGGCTGGAGAACCGGAGCATGCACCCGTATTCGGAGCCTGTGTTCAACATGCAGCATCCCCCTCCCCAGCAGGCGCCCAACCAGCGGCTGCAGCATTTCGACGCGCCCCCGTACATGAATGTGGCCAAGAGGCCGCGCTTTGACTTCCCGGGCAGCGCGGGAGTGGACCGCTGCGCTTCGTGGAACGGGAGCATGCACAACGGCGCGCTGGACAACCACCTCTCGCCCTCCGCCTACTCGGGCCTACCCGGCGAGTTCACGCCGCCCGTGCCCGACAGCTTCCCCTCAGGGCCACCCCTGCAGCATCCGGCCCCGGACCACCAGTCCCTGCAGCAGCAGCAGCAGCAGCAGCAGCAACAGCAGCAGCAGCAGCAGCAGCAGCAGCAACAGCAGCAGCGCCAAAACGCGGCCCTCATGATTAAGCAGATGGCGTCGCGGAATCAGCAGCAGCGGCTGCGCCAGCCCAACCTGGCCCAGTTGGGCCACCCCGGGGACGTGGGCCAGGGCGGCCTGGTACACAGCGGCCCGGTGGGCGGCCTGGCCCAGCCGAACTTTGAGCGCGAGGGCGCGGGCGCGGGCGCGGGGCGCCTGGGCGCTTTCGAGCAGCAGGCGCCCCACTTGGCGCAGGAGAGCGCGTGGTTCCCAGGTCCGCACCCGCCGCCGCCGCCGGGGGACCTGCTGCCCCGCAGGATGGGCGGCTCGGGCCTGCCGGCCGACTGCGGCCCGCACGACCCGGGCCTGGCGCCGCCCCCTCCCCCCGGGGGCTCGGGAGTGCTGTTCCGGGGCCCCCTGCAGGAGCCCCTGCGGATGCCCGGCGAGGGCCACGTGCCCGCGCTGCCCTCCCCGGGCCTGCAGTTCGCGGGCAGCCTGGCGGGGCTGGGCCAGCTGCAGTCGCCCGGGGCCGGGGTGGGGCTGCCCAGCGCTCCCTCCGAGCGCCGGCCCCCGCCGCCCGATTTCACGGCCCCGGCGGCGCTCGGGGGCCAGCCCGGCTTCCCGTTCGGCGCGGCGAACCGGCAGGCCACGCCGCACAGCGGCCCGGGCGTGAACTCGCCCCCGAGCGCGGGCGGGGGCGCGGGCGCGGGCGGGGGCGGCGGCGGCGGAGGGGGCGCCTACCCGCCGCAGCCCGACTTCCAGCCCAGCCAGCGCGCCTCGGCCAGCAAGCTGGGCGCGCTGTCGCTGGGCTCCTTCAACAAGCCCAGCTCCAAGGACAACCTGTTCGGCCAGAGCTGCCTGGCGGCACTCTCCACCGCCTGCCAGAACATGATCGCCAGCCTCGGAGCCCCTAACCTCAACGTGACCTTCAACAAAAAGAACCCGCCCGAGGGCAAGAGGAAACTGAGCCAGAACGAGGCGGACGGCGCGGCGGCGGCCGGCAACCCGGGCTCGGATTACTTCCCCGGAGGGGCCGCCCCTGGCGCCCCGGGGCCCGGAGGCCCGCCGGGGACTGGCAGCAGCGGCTCCAAGGCCTCGGGGCCGCCCAACCCGCCCGCCCAGGGGGACGGCACCAGCCTGTCCCCCAACTACACCCTGGAGTCCGCGTCCGGGAACGACGGCAAGCCGGTCCCCGGGGGCGGCGGCCGGGGCCGGGGCCGAAGAAAACGGGACAGCGGGCACGTGAGCCCCGGGACCTTCTTCGACAAGTACCCGGCGGCGCCCGACAGCGGGGGCGCGCCTGGGGTGAGCCCGGGGCAGCAGCCGCCGGCGCAGGGCGCGGCCGTCGGGGGCAGCTCCGCCAGCGCCGGCGAGGCTCGCGGGGCCCCTACGCCCCACGAGAAAGCGCTCACGTCGCCGTCGTGGGGGAAGGGGGCCGAGTTGCTCCTGGGGGACCAGCCGGACCTCATGGCTTCCCTGGACGGCGGGGCCAAGTCGGACGGTAGCTCCCCGCACGTGGGCGAGTTTGCCTCGGACGAGGTGAGCACCAGCTACGCCAACGAGGACGAGGTGTCGTCCAGCTCCGACAACCCCCCAGCCCTGGCCAAAGCGAGTAGGAGCCCCCTGGTGACAGGCTCGCCCAAACTCCCTCCCCGTGGGGTGGGCGCTGGGGAACACGGACCTAAGGCGCCCCCGCCCCCGCTCGGCCTGGGCATCATGTCTACCTCTACCTCCACCCCTGACAGCTACGGCGGCGGCGGGGGCGCGGGCCATCCTGGCACGCCCGGCCTGGAGCAGGTCCGCACCCCGACGAGCAGCAGCGGCGCACCACCCCCCGACGAGATCCACCCCCTGGAGATCCTCCAGGCGCAGATCCAGCTGCAGAGGCAGCAGTTCAGCATCTCTGAGGACCAGCCCCTGGGGCTCAAAGGTGGCAAGAAGGGTGAGTGCGCCGTGGGGTCCTCGGGCGCGCAGAATGGTGACAGCGAGCTGGGCAGCTGCTGCTCAGAGGCCGTCAAGAGCGCCATGAGCACCATCGACCTGGACTCGCTGATGGCAGAGCACAGCGCCACCTGGTACATGCCCGCTGACAAGGCCTTGGTGGACGGCGCGGACGACGACAAGACGCTGGCACCTTGGGAGAAGGCCAAACCCCAGAACCCCAACAGCAAAGAAGGTATATGCGCTTGTTCCCTTCTCGTCTCCCCCAGGCTGGTCCCCACCCCTACTGCAGGCCTTAGCCAAGCCTGGAGTGCTCCATCAGAGGGGATCATCCCTTGGGGTTAGGAGGGCAGGGCCCTCCTAATGCCCAGCTCAGAGCTGGATACCCTCCCTTCCGTTTACAGTGGGGGCCCTGTGGGCAGATTCCCCACTTCCACACACACGCGCCCCCCCCCCCCCCACCAGGTGCTGCCAGGTGGATTCCAGAGTCACATACAGAGGTAGGAACTTCGATGGTAGCCCTTTGGGGATTATTTCAGAGTCCCCTCACCAAGTTTTAACTGAGTGGCTGGGTGCCCAGAGGACAAGGCAGGCCCCTTTCCTTGGCTGGTTCCACTTTGTAGGAGTTGTGTACCTGTCCACCCCCTCCTTTCCTGGCAGGATACCTGGGAAGTTGCGCTAATAACCTTCCCACCTTTTCCCAGTCAGGCAGCCTCCAGCTTGAGTTCTCTTCCGTGTGCCAGCATCTTTAGAAGGAAAAAAAAAAAAAGTTACCGGCGCTGGTGTCAGCAGCATCACTCAGAGGCAACGCCTAATTTGACATTTGTTCCTAATGAATAGCTGTTTTGTCTCTTCTTAACTATTAGGGTTTCATTGGAAACCTGGAGACCTGTCTGGTTGTAGGAGGCAGGCAGGCTTTTCCTGGTGGTACCTCCTTGATATTTGGCTGGGGGTGCAGGGGCTGGGGTGGGGTCTGCTCGGCCGAAAGTGGACCACTCAGCCAGGGCATCCTTGGCGTATGGGGTGTGGATATATATTCTTAAGACACAAAGGACCCGCGTTTGTCAATATCTTGCCGGGCTTTGGTGACAGATGTCTAGTCCCAGCTCTTGTTTGCATTCTGAGCACTCCCTCCCCACCAGGCCCAGAGGCCTTTTAAGGTGGGTGGGGTGGAGGGTTAGCACAGGGCCCGCCATCGCAGTGAAAGTCATAACAGTTTTGTTTTTAACGGGAAGAGGACTAGACTGCGGTAGAGAACCGTTTTATTTTAACAGGGCCTTCCTTTTTTTCACAGATAATTGCTTCTTAAAATGAGGTAACATCGTTCCTCTCCCCTCCCCACCCCCAATTCCTACCTTTTGCTTTTAAACCCTAGATGCCTTCCCTAGGTTTCACAGGGTGGGGGCTGAATATTGCCATGGAGGCAGCGGCTGCTGATTGAACCCTGTCTTTAAAAAAAAAAAAAAAAATCTGTCCCCGGATCCTTGCTCTCTCTTAAGAGTTCATCTCTTCTCTTGTCTTCGTTTGTCTGGGCCTCCGGACCCTGGTTTAAGGTGTGGGTAGATTTTAGGAGAATGTGATGGAGGAGGAGGAGGAGGAGGAGGAGGAGGAGGAGGAGGAGGAGGAAGGTGGAGGGGGAGGGGAAGTGCTGCCCGGAGTTGGGTGGCTCAGAACTCGGGGCTTTCAGCGCTGCCTGCCTGCCGTCCCTGGTAGCTTTCCCGCTTAGGTTTTTCTAATTCATGAATGCAGCCTCCCTGCTTTTCTCTTTGTTCGCCTACTGCCCAGCCCGGGACGCTGCTCTCTCATTTGAAGCCGAGTGTTTAGCATGCACGGCAGACGCTGCGGCCAGCATCAGCATTCTCCAGGCTTCTCTCAGGCAAGGCCATAAATTGGTTAGTTTGGGACCCTCCACTCCTTTTCCCTGTTTTTTTTTTTTTTCCTCCCCCCCCCTTCCTTTTTAAAATGGACTTGGACACAGCATCCTGCTTGCGCGGCTCCCGGGCGCACCCGCTCCCCCCACTCCAACAGTCTCTTTTATTTTCTTGTACACAACATCTCGATCCTACCCGATCGATAGCTGGTTAGCACAAATCCCAGCCCCTGTCACTTCTACCTGCCTTGGCCTGGCTGCCCCTCCCCCTCCCCCTTCTCCCCTCCCCCCCTCAGTAATTAAGAACATATTGGCTGAGATAGGGTGAGAAAAGTTTTTTTTTTAAACCCCTGATTTTGAGAACTAATACAGAAAAAAAAAGCAGTAGCCCTCGGCCTGCGAGTCTTCTGAAGGGCCTTCGTAGACTGGGTAAAGAGGAATAGAGTGGTTTTAACATTTTTTTGGAGGTGTCGCAGAGCCCTCTTGGCCGTCCCCCTAATTTTCCTTTCCAGAAAAAAAAATGCAGGCTGTGAATGAAGAGATGTCATTAAAGATACGTCTTGTTTTGTTTGTTGCATTATCACAGTCAGAGGAGCGAAAATATTTTTTTGGAAACAGATGCTAGTCACTTAAGGATTGGTTCCCCCTGTAAGCTAAAGGCAGCCCTGCCTTGCACAGGGGGAGGAGAGGGGGGACAGGGACTTCCTTCGGGGATGGGCTGTGGGGCTGGCCTCCTTAGCAGCATCGCAGGGACACCCACTTGACCTCCTTTGTTTGCCACTCTGTGATGTGGGAAGGACAGTTTCCTAGATAAAGCCCTGAATTGAGGTCACTCACAGCTTCTGCAGCCTTGGGGCTGCTAGTTAAGGCTTTATAAGGTATCTGCATCCGATTCCTGCTCCCTTACTGGTAGTAAATAAGGATGATTAAACTTTTCATTATGATAACACCCTGCAGTTCCATCTGCACATGTTGTATAAATAGGTACACAGAGCCTTGAACAGGCCCCCGAGTCCCCTGGCTGAAAATCAGTGAAGTGTGCCACTTCAAAATAGAGTCTAAAAAAAATTCTAAAGTACAACGTTCTGCTTGTCCTTAAACACATGCCCATGGGCCCGTCAGCCATGAAGCGGAGTGTCCAGCAGCTTTGAATATACCTTCTGTGGGTCCCAGCCCCCGGCCAGCACCTTTTCTCCTACCCCCTTTCAGGCAAAGCCCGTTTTTGTAATGATATTTTATTTTGTCACGCCGTAAAACACGCCAGTACTAATGTGATTAAATATTAACACCGTTTCTGAAATTCTTCGCTCCGATGACAAAATACGAGTCGGTATTTAACAAAATGATCTGTGCTTGGATTGGTGAGAACGGCTAAGTCTTCAGACCTGCACAAGCCGTGTAGTCAGTGGGACGTGCCCAGCTTGTCTTATGGGGTTTAGATGTCCTTTGGCAGGGGGAGGGAGCTCAAATGGCAAGTTGTAGTTCCGGCAAAGTCCAGGCCAGAATCACGTGTGATGATGGCTTTTTTTTTTTTTTTTTTTTTTTTTACCAGGTAAGCGAGTGTCTCCAAATTATGCTTTTCCTGACTTCTTAACCCATCAAACCTCTTTTACATAGTGCAATTCCTCATCTCATCTTGAGGTTCTGTTTGCACAAAGTTGGGGCGGTGGGGGTGGGGGGGCAGGTGGGCGCCAAGGATGAGGGTGTGCAGAGCGAGGAGAAAAACAGCTTGAGTTTGGATCTATCCAGACATCTCTTAGATCAGCAAGGATTACACGAATTTGAGATGAGTTTGCAAAATCGTCCACTTCTCTGTGTAATAGGTGTGTGTGGCTGAGGAGGAATTCCAGAACAGACAGAGAAGGAGGAAAAAATGATAAACTGTTGATAAGAGGGTATTAAGTCTGAAAAAGTAGGTTCACCACCCACCCCCTCCTGCCCCTGACGATTTTCAAAACTTGAATTAACTGCAATAAGTTTATCCTTGGCCAAACTTCCATTCCGTGGCTTGCTGTCTGTCCTGAAATCCCGAGCAGTCTAGAAACGTTCCTTTGCACACATAGAAATACGAGAGGGCTCTGTGGACGCCGTGCATGCAATCCTGCCCTTTTTGGAAGTATGATATTTTTACAGTGATGCGGGAGAAATTTTTGGAATTTCATGCTTCTCTGAGTGTGCCGGTCGGAACACAGTAAGCAGTGCTGAGAAATAGTAGGCAGGCAGGATTGGGACACTGAGTTTCCTAAGCCGTGGGGGCAGGCTTGCGGGAGGGGGGGGGAGGAAGGGGGTCCTAGGGCTGCTTTCCTGAGTACTTTTCCCCACTCCCCATGGCGTGGAGAGGGTTTTTTTTCGGTTCACTCAGACTTGTTTTGGGAAGGCGAGGAGCCTTGCATTCCCATTTCCCTGCAAAATCACCCAGCGCGGGTTGCATGCCTTCATATGACTTTTGCGCCTCCGGAAGATGTAACCCAAGACATCGCAGGTGTTAATCAGGGGTAATGTAAACAGATAGGATCCCCCTTTGTGCAGCTGACGGTCCAGCCTGCCTCCTCCCTGGCTAGTCCGGGACATACTACTACTGTTCTTTGGTGGTTGTTTAATATTTCATGGCTGTAATAAACCTGTCTCCTTTGCCCGCCTCCCGACATAAAACCCCAACATAGTGCACATCTGCAATTATACATTTCTACTAAATATTAATAAAGGACAAGGATTTTTTTTTTAAGGGTTTGAAGCTTATGGCTGTCAAACTTGTTAATGGCTTCCACCACTGGATTTTCCAGGACTGTTTTGATTTTAAATAGCCCCTGCCTTCTGATATAAAATACAGACACATATTCTTTCATATGTATATGTATATATGTAAATAGGTAAATATGTACAATTTTTGTAGACGGAAGGGCTTCCCTCAAGGATAGCTCTCTTTAATATAAATTCATTTACATTTCTTGTGAGGCCCTTCAGACCGGAAGTAAGGGACTGTTGAGATGTACTTCTATTTTATTGAGGTTTCTAGGAAGGGAGTGGGGGCTGGTTAATCTAATATCTCTTTCTAGCAATGAGATTCTATGATTCCCGATATGATTTTGTTTGCCCGACAGAGGTATTTAAATTTCCACAAAGAATCTTAATAGGTCCTGAAAATCTTAATAGGTCTTGAAGAATAGATCCTGCCCTTGCCAAGAAGTTATCTGATACTCTCTGCTGGTATAAAATATACATCTTTAATAAACAGCCCGGGAGGACCAGGTGAAATTGGAGGAGGGAAATTCTTCCCATATTCTGGCAGGACAAACTTGAGTGTATCCTTGGGATTTCGCAGGATCTCCTGAACTCACTCCACGCTGGAAGATTGAACAAAATCA